GGTCAACCGATCCTAGGTGGAGTCCCAGCATCGATGATTTGCAATTTACAGCAAAATCCTCTGAGACGACCCATCATCGCGAACTGGCTCCCAGCCTTACTGCGTCAGGGCTGTATGTTCATCATACATCTCAATGGTGACCTTGGTGAGGAACGATGGTTATTGGATGAGGAGTGGACGGTGACGGTGACAGTATTTAATATATTGTTCCAATTCCAATATATTTAATTTAGACTATTGAGATTGAGATTAGTGATTCTATTAGTGATTATCCATTATCCATCAGATGACATATGACACATGGTTGATGTCTGAGGCCACGATGATTAGATGAAACCGATGGCGAGGTAGACAACATAGTGTCAATACTCAATAGTCTATGATTGTGAATACCTACAACTTACAACAAGATTAAATCATAAATGCAATTTTAATATTAATTAATAAAATATACATTGATTCATTCTTGTTTGAAGATCATATCCACAGTCCGGATTCAGCTTGTTAGTCAGCTTCAATGAATAGGCATCACTTGAGCCACGGTTGATGATAACATTGCCTGACTTCCCTGACAGGAACATCTCCAGTCAATGGGCATTCCGATCTTTCCAGATCACTCATCCCACACCGATCCATGCCCGATCTGGTCTTACCAGCCGCCCGCCACAGTGAAAAAACGCATTGCGGGGAACGAAGCTTGGCGGCATGGACAGGTCGGGTGTGTGAATGGATGGATAGATACGAAAAGAAATGATTTCAGAATTTCAGAATCACCGACAATAATTCAATAATAAGCAAATGAACAATAAGAAATTCAACCATGGAACGATAAATGTTGAGTAAACCATAGCCAGATCTGCCATGCAGGCGATGCACGCATCAGTCGTGGGTTCCATCCACGCGTGCCTTCTGTGCAGCCTGAAGATCCTCAGAGCGTAGCGTGTGGCACTCCCGGTCGAGCCAGGGTAGGAGAGAATATCTAGAAATTCATTCATTCATTCATTCATTGGTCTAAAAGAATACTTGTACTTATTATAGTTATGTTTGCTCTTGATTTATGATTCAGACCTCGACTCCTCATTGTCTTTACATATCCTTAGTGACATCATACAACTCAAGACCCTGACGGAGTGCCACAACTTCAGCAGCCCATTGACTCATCAGTCAGGAACACCTCACAGGACAGGAGGTGAACACATGGGAAATGGGAAATGATATTTTGAGAGGATCGAATCGTATGGGACTAAAAGGCAAACTATCTGCCTGCGGCCTGCGACATGTTTTTGTGAATGTTCCATGTGATGTATGTAAAATTACCAAAGATTACCACAGTTCAAGGACGTACAAGATTTGTTTGATAAACAATGATCACTCGACGACTCGAACAGTTGCATCATGGAAGCATCAACACACTGTAGTCAATGTGAACCACAAATCATAAGAACTGATTCGACGTATACCATCGCAGTAGCATTTTTGCTCACATTTTTTCCATCATCGTCCGACCGTTCATTACGATCAATCATCCAGTGTGGAAAACACGTCGACGGTTCATGATGGATATACCAGAGGTGACATCATCATTTGCAATCGTTCCGTTCGTGGCCGCCTCGGGTTCTCCGACGTCGGTCCCATCTCCGGCATCCTGGTCTGAGAGTAGGTTCAATCCGGGTCCGGAAGACCTGGTGGGAGCCACACCAGTGCCATCACCGTCCACCCCTGGAAAGGGTGTGGTACAAGGTGGTTCTGACTTGGGCTTTTTCATGGTCCAATGTCAAATTCCCGGATGCGATGCCAGGATGATGAAACAGCCTTCTAAGTTTCTCGGTGTGCAGTGTGAATTGCGCATTTGTGTATTGTATAGAGGCCCCGGAAACGGCGTTCAATGTTCAGGATGTTTTTTTCTCGTCAATGAGTCAGTGACGGTGAGTATTTGTTTCAAAATATGTGTTCATAGTAGCCATGACTCCCCGACCTTTTACATTATACAATTATACCCAGCACTGCACTACTATTGTATATATACATAGTGTATGATAACCTAAGAGATTGTGTTATTTCTGGCAGCCGTTAATTTTATCTCAATCGAATATTATCGAATGCTCACGATTATCGACATATATATATATATATATGGATGATATAGAGTATCTCAGAATGACTCAGAAGTATCATCACCATCCAGAACCCATACAGCAATCGGTCCTCTCGGTGGCTTAGGCTGATTCAGCTGTGCCCGCGACATAGCTCGGCCCGGGATGGTCTCATGAAGCAGGCTGCAAAGAAGGGCCATGAGTTCAGCGAAACATTGACTACGCTTGAAAAGAATAACCCGGATGAATTGCTGGAACACGTCAAGAATTTTTCTGATACGTATCTTAACAGCAAACAAAAGAGCCATGAGTGTAGTGTATAGTGCATATAAACATAATTAAACATATATTATCTACTGTAGTAATTTACATATATATATATTATAGCAGTGGCAATTGCCCCTCAGTTTGAACCATGGCATACATGGTCTCGCATCATAGACTTTGGTTTTGCTCAAAACAACTGATCGCTCTCAGAGTCCCTGAACTTGATATTTGTTTGACACTGACAGTCATCGGTGTTCCTTTACAGAAGATTTGCAATTACAAACAAAATATCTGGAGTTTTTCTCACTAATTAACCGCACACATTCATATGTTTGTTGTCAAATTTACTGTAGAAAAACAATCCTGTTTATTTACTGTAGTAGGGATTTTGATGGTTGCATCGTTGCATCAGGTAAACAAACAAGATCCGAAACTCGAAACCAATCCCTACTCCGCATCTAAGGTGCCCAGCCCCTGGAAAGGGCAAAAAGACAAAGGAATGGGACTTTGGCCGACTGAAGAGGTTCAGAAGTACCGGTGTAAGGGACGAGGCATCCTTCACTAGGCGCCCAATGTGTCAGGACGATTTCATGGAGTTTTTCACATCAAAGTGTCCTAGCTACCAAAGAATCTTGTCATCATCAGGCAGGGAAACACCATTGAACCTACATACATCTGATCTGATTCAATGAAATGATGGGTCTATCGGATTTACCATAAATTGTTTTCGATTTCCTTCAATCTCCTTACTCCTTCTACTAAACTTTACGGGAAGGAACTGAGGCATGGAACTGGGAACACATATGACTGGAGCCTAGCACTGAATAAATAAACAACATATAATTCAAATTAACCATTGAATTCCAAATCGTTGATTCGTCGAGTAACGATGATGTGTGTATTTATCTTTGGTTTTATTATTTTATTAACTGATTATTATTTATATATATATATATATACATATGGTTAAGCTGGAATCAACATTGATGCGATTTATGCTTGAACTCGTAACTCGAACTAATATATATATATGACATGACATGATATGATATATATACATATTCTGAACTCTGGACTCTGGACTTTAGACTATATACTCTATTACTTTCACATCTTTGACCAGTATATGACATATCTGTATCTGTTTGTTCCTTCTTCTTCTATTAGTTCACACTGTTCACACCTTGTTGCCGAGGACTTACACCTGCTGCCGCTCAACGAAAGTGGAAGACGATGTTTGCCGATGAGTCGGTTCGTCGGGACAGGGTGGAGGCAACCAATCCCAATGGAGAGTCCATTGGAATGGTTCCTTATTTCAATGGCTCATACGCCTAACCTAATCCATGCACCTCACAATGAACCAAGGTTTTCCGTCTTTGGGTACCTGTCGACGAAGTGGAAACCAATACCACTTACAAGGACAGATCTAGGGCTTCCGGTGTAGGCACATTATCTGAGTCTGAGTAGGAGTCTGAGTATTCCAAGATGGATCCCAGTTCATAGTTCATATGATTCGAAACAAATATGACTTGTGACTTGTGAACGTTATTATGCTAGTTATCGATACGTTAAAATTTTCATTAGTCATTTAACTACATTGAATATTGATTCCGATTCGACAATTGACCGACAATCTTATATTCTCGTCTCGTCTGTATTGATAGCATTGATATACAAAGAGCTCTACATTCTACATGAATTATTAACGATTATAATTCACCAACTTCACCTCATGTGCACGTCCGCAGGACCGTGGGTTCACACAAGAGCTTGAGGACACCTGCAGGAATCCCACCGAAGCAAAGCTTCAAGAGCAATCAGAGAAGGCTCATGCGTCCTACCTTGACGGGGCCCTGGAGACAGAGGAAAGTCTTGTTCGACTTCGACCGGCAGGGGCAGGTACGTCAATGTTCGCATGTGAAGCTCCCAGCTCAGCAGGACCTAAAGCAAAGGCAGGAGCAAAAAGGACCACTGGCAAAACTACCACCACACAATCGACCGGGGGCAATCCTTTAGTGGCAGCCTCGAAGGTTAGATCGAGGACAACAAAAGACTTCTGTGAAGTTGAGCGCCTCTTGAACAAGGCGATGGCAGATGCTGAGAACATCTTTGATGTGGTGGCGCCAAAGCTCATGGCACCAGAGGCCATCAAACAAGATCCCACCTTGGAGTTACTCAGGCAGCGACAGCTCATGGTGACGATTGCACGTGACACTAGTTCGGGAAAGGTGGGCCTCGACATGAGCAAGGACTTGTATGACCGGGCTTGTCAGGATCCCTACCTGAAGGATTGCCGCACCACTTTCCTTGCCGATCCAGAGGCATGCCAAACCATGGGAGTGGTCAGGTATACCCGAAATGTGCTGCTCGATCTGTATCTTGGACACATATGTGTGAGAGAAAGGTGCATAGGTGTGGGTCCGGAGAGATGGGGTAGAGTCAATTCTATAGTATTATATATTGATAATGAATAATATGGATTCGGATCGGATATATATATATAATATGTATTATGTATGTATATATATATATGCTGTGTTATGTTATATAAAATTATATATAAATGTATTATAGTTACAAGTACAATATATGATTATAAGACGCAATAATTGCTATGTTGCTTGACCCTGTTCATACAACATGCTGAGGCAACCCAGCTGCCAACATGTGGATCAATTAGCTGAAGTTCATCGCAATGCACTTGAAGTACTCAAGAAGATTGCTGACTGCTGTTGCAAGGAAGCGGCTGCCTGGACGGCAAATGTGCAAGCATTGGCGAAGGCAAAGCAGGACGAGGAGAAGGCCCTTGCCCGTGAGAACCAGAAGGAGGAGAAACGAGCTGCACAAGCTGAGAAGAAGAAGCGAGAAAAGATTCTGAAAGCGGCAAAGGCCAGAGCGGACAAGGCGGAAAAGGAACGTATGGCAGAAGAGGGAGGAGGTGATCAAGCTGATGTGGAGGAGGCCGCGGCCCAGGGGAAGAGCAAAAAGACAAGGAACAGAAACCGTTCTGGCACACAAGAGCTGACTGAAGATGATCCTGAGCTACTCCATGCTATGTTTAAGCTTCCTCTCGGTGCAATGGCAGTGGCGAACGACGTGGCTTCCTTCGTTGATCAGATCGCAGAGGTTCCCGGGGCAGCATGCATTGCGCGGTTGCGACGTGGCCCCTTCAAGAAGGTTCTCTCTGATTCATGGCTAGTTGTTGGGACTTGTTTTTTTTTTAAATTGTGGTTGTGAGTCGGGGTCCAGGGAAGTGGAATCAGGTCGAGTCTTGGGATTAAAATTTTGTTGACTGACTCGATCAGTCTTCATATTCACATGCTCATTATAGGCTATAGCTATAGACTGGACTTTTAGAATATAGTTATAGAACGACAATAATAGATAAAACAACATATATATATATATATATATATATATATATATATCAGCCAGACACTCAGATATCATATAAATATAATGTATCTTAGTCGCCCACGAACATTGCGGTTTTTAAACATGTTACTTTAAGTTACAATGTGTATATCGGTCAATCACTGGCCATCCGGTTACTTAACAAACGAATCAATCACCGAGGAAGACGATTCCCTGAATCCATCGGATTGCAATGCGATGCAGAAGGTGCTGGTCCAGGAGTCCCAAAGCTTTGTTCAGCAGGTGGAGGAGCTCTACAAGGCACCAAATGCTAAGTGGGATGCACGAGCGACATCCATCGCTGACGGTCCTGCACTCATGCTCGCGATGGACGACAAGATTGCTCAACGACTGCAACAGCTGTCTGTTGAACATCAAGATCGTTGTGACGTCCCTAGGGTTAATGTCCTTGATCGAGATCACTTGGGCAAGGAGTTCCTTGTCTGTTATGGTCCGTGGGAGAGCCATTCAGTTCAAGTAGGGATCAATATCAGTTCATTCAGATTCAGTTTTATGAAGAAATGCAATGCACAACGACGCAACTAACAATTGCTTCGATTTCTCCGATCAACAATCTAAACAATTTGGTTTTCTATTTTTTCAATGGTTGGCTGGTTGTGATTATGATATCAATCAATCCCTTAACTTGATGGTTCATCGTCTAAGGATCTATGATGAAGCCATCAGGAATCAGAGGGATGCGGAAGCGGCAATGAAGGAGATGCGCAGGATGACCGGAGTGGCTTGGGTGGGCGCCAAGCATGGAGGTGTTTTCACAGGCAATCTGCCAGTTCCGGGAGCTGCCTTCCTCTACCAGATCGAAGGTCAACGGATCGTGGCCTGTGCTCCAGCCATGGAGCTACTGGGCATGATGCATACGCATGACGCTGCTGCACTTCCTGATGAAATCAATGCTGAGATGGCGCCAGAGATGATCAAGGACTGTGTGTGAACATTCACTTCACACTACAGTTGTCATCAAGAAGTAGTAAGGAAACACAACTTCGAGATTTGAAGTCTGAAAAGTCACTGAAGAGTAGTGCAGCGTAGTGTAGATAAAAATGAGTTGGATCAAAGTTCCTCTGGTATCTATGATCAATCAAATTATTTAGGTTTAGGACGGCTCCAAGGCATGTCCTACCAGTCATCGGGCTATCGCAGGCAAACTTTAAAATATCTCTAGTCAGGACATCATGCGGTTCCTGCAGACGGCCCGAGAAGACTTCTTACGTGAGAACCTGCCAGTGAACTTCCGCTATGAGTGCATCATACCAGGAGACGTGCTCTATGTGCCGGCTGGCTCTATTGTGATGGAAAAGTCCGTGGTAGCAAATAATGTGATCCTTCGGGTGCCTTCCCCCTTGCTATCCTCCACCGCTATCGAGTCTGTGATCTTTACCAGTGGCATTGCCCCGAAGAGCCTTGGTATCGAACATTAGTATTTGTTTGTTTTTAGTTTTTTGGGATCGTTTTGTTGCAGTGTTTTTTGTTATAGATTTCTCTTCCGATTCTGTGATGATCTGATGCGAGCCGCGAGTTATAATTACATCATCTCATATATGTTAAAACAACTTATATCATACCATGGCATAACTTAGATACATTAAGGTATATAGTATGTAGCTTAGTATGTGATGAAGAACATACAATTAATGATATTTGCTGCCTATGCCCTGTGCCTATACCGATTAGATAAAGATATGTTGATTTATGATGACTAAGACAATCACAATGGATGATGAAGAAGATGATGATGATGATGATGATGATGAACATGATAACTAAGATACAAATATCATTTCCAACTGAAATTCAAATCCATTAGATCAGATATCTTAACCACATCATGATGAACTAAGGGCAGAGATCAGCGTCGTGATGATGAAGGCAGCTGCGGCCTTTATGGATAATCCAGATTCGGTTCAAGTTGTCCGGGCAAAGCTGAAGGCACCACCATCATCAGAGCCTAAAGCCAAGGATGCAGAGAAGACATCAAAAGCTGAGAAGGCAACAGTCAAGATCACAGCCATTGCGCCACAGACGACCGCATCATCTTCAGCACCCAAGTCAACAACAGCGGCCGCCACAGAGGAGGCAGCTAAGACAAAGGATTCTCAGCCAGAGAAGGAAGCTGGGGATGATGTGAAAAATGGAGAGCAGGCAGAAGAGGACAGTGACTTCGAGGACGACGAGGTGGTTGAGCTCTCAGAGTTGTCAGATACTGAGCCTGGAGATGTGTCCGGTGCAGAGAACCATGAGGCCAACGTGGAGAGCAAAGAATGTCCGGAGATGGCAGCTGAGGCTGAGACTGTGCAGGTTGATCATCAGGAGATCAAGGTCGGTGAAGAGGACACACATCAGGAGGAGAAAGCAACCACTGAAGAGAAGGCTGAGGCTGAGGCTGAGGAAGAGAATACGACCAACGTTGAGAAGACACCTGATGACGAGAAGAAACCGGAGGAGAACAACGACCCAGGTCACTGTTCAGATGGACAGGGGAAGGCCCAGTGTCCCGATGAGGATCCTGCTCAGGAGGCAACCGGGAAGCCAGTGTCAGCCTCATCAGCCACGTTGAAGTCCTACTTCAACTCCGTTCCAAAGCAGACAGACCCGAGTCCGACAAAGGATGGGGCTGGTGACAGCGTCATTGACAAGCCTGCAGTACATGCAGCCAAGGGAAAGAGTGCCAAAGAGAAATCAAAGGCGAGAGAACAAGGCAAGAAGATGCTTGGATCTGAGGATGAGCATGGAAAGTCAAAGTCGAAGGACAAGGACCAGGACAAGGAGAACGGCAAGAAAGCCAAGGAACACAAGCATGATGAAAAGAAGGAAAAGAAGGAAAAAAAGGAAAAGAAGGACAAGAAAGACAAAGATGACAAGTCCAAGTCCAAGAAGGACAAAAAGGACAAAAAGGACAAAAAGGACAAAAAGGACAATAAAGACAAGGCTGATGATAAGCTTGCCCAGAAGAAACAAAAGAAGATCAATGACAAGGATGAGACCAAGCCATCTACCGGTCGCAAGCGCCCAGCGGCTGATGGAGAGGAGGCAGCCAACCCGGCACCAAAGAAGAGGGCAACCCCTAAGTCCGTAGCGGCGTCGGTCAAGGGCAAGGGCAAGGGTGACATGAAAGATGGCACCAAGGGACGCGGCAAAGGACGTGGTCGTGGACGTGCTCGTGGGGGAGGAGTGACTGGTTGAGACACCGGGATGGCATGGTTGGGGCACTGGGATGACATATGGTATGTGGCATGTGGTTCGCTAATTTTAGATCTTAATTTAAGGTTGGATTTCCAGACCAGACTTTCTGAATCCAGTAATCATATTTGATGGGAATGAGGCGAGGCGAGGATGTAATATTATGAATGAATTTTTAATATATCTAATTATCTAATATCGATCAATCTATAGTTAGAGGTTAGCCAGCCATTTGATTATGTTCATCTGATTCTAAATCATGAACGTTCGATTATCATCATCAATATGTATCACATAGATAGGTGATCAGTAGCATCGAGATGCCACATCGTGATTTTCTGTTGTAGGTTGAACTGGAAAAAAACAATCCAGCCAAGTTCTAAGTATATGTTTTATTCCACCATCACTAACTAATAGCTATGAACATGTTCCGTGAGCATTGAACATTGCTAGGATCCTATGATTGCGACTGGCTGACGTGATCATAACCCGGTCGATTGCCTTACGTAAATATATAAATATATCAGATATCATTGAGATAGATATATATATATATATACTATACATGTTTTTTTTTAGATTTATATCATATAGTTGTATATATATATATAACTATATCTCAGACATCGGGGCATATCATCCGGTTGCAGCCCTGCCCGCTTGCTAAGGACAGTGGCGAGGACGTGCGCTGGGGCCCTTGCATTGCTTCCAAAGCACTTCGGGGTGTCTTTCATGCGGGATGTGATGGACACAACACCCACTGAGCAGTGCCATAGTGAATCGAATCTGTTGACTGTAATGTCATTGGATCTCTGGTCTCCGGACAGTCAAGACCATTAATTAGATTTATTGCTAGTTATGTTGATGATCAAAAAAACACATTGATCGTTGACGAATCTTCGAGGGAGTCGGTGGGTTGAAAACACAAACCTGACCTGAAACTAAAGATTCCCGGGTTTCAATCTCAGTTATCTGCCGATCTGGTCTCCAGGCTCCACCTTGAATACATTATGGGACTTGTATATACTATATTGTGCTGAGAGGTTCTTATGATCATTGGTTCATGGTGCTAGATAATATTTTTTTTTGATGATTTCTAGTCGATCATTGAAATCAAACACCAAATGATTCATACGATCTGAACAGGGCCGGAGCCTGTTGAAGAAAAAAACAGATCTTCTAAAAGACACTGTCCCAGTGAAACAAGTTTCAACTGGGCACTGTGGGAAAGGGAGAAAAAACGAACCAAACCGAACCGATTGACACCTTGATGTGCGCAGCCCAAAGTGTATGCACTCAACATGCAGTGAGATCTCAGATATAGATAGCATACAACACACATTGTCAAGCAATGATGTTGGTCCATGTCGGTGTGAGTGAATCACGTATTATGAAATATTGTTTGCAATTCAGGTCTATGCTATGAAGATGAACATAGGTATTCTACCATATATAATCCTTATCTACCAAAAATAAATATTTCCGGACCTAGATCCCCCATGGGTTATGCAATTTGGCACTGAGCGCCTTGGATATTACATTGTGGTGGTGGCCCGTAGCATCCACCTTTGTGGGGTTGTCGCATATTATATAGAATAAGCTTTGGCAACCATCTTGGGCAACTTTCACAAGCTGATGGTTAGCCCTTAGCATCCACCTTTATTGGGCTGTCACAGATTACAGAAGCGCATGCTTTGACAATGCGTAAATTTCAGAAGCTGATGTTGTCGCATCGATGTGTGTGTGTATGTGTGCTGATCTACATCCACATGCATATCAACAACAGTTAAACTGAACTCGGAACAAAAAAAAGCCTCACCGACTCAGAAAAGACACAATAGGATGGACCCATGGCTGCAGACAAACGCGAGAATGATGACGACACTGTGTCAGGGAAAGCATCGGGATCAGTTTGGGCGGGTGTTTGTGTGTGGGTGTGTCTGTTTGCTTGCGCGGGCGCATATGTGCTAATATGGGTTGTGCTAAGTGAAATACATGCAGCGACAGTCTTGGCACCTTTTTGACCTGATTCCGCAATGTCGTGGGGTGCACTGGCTGTCGTTCTGCGTGGCAGGCGCGCCACTTTGAGAGCGTGACTGCTCTATCCTGCACACCTGCCATGCAACGCACATGCAACACACATGCAACACACATGCAACACACATGCAACACACATGCAACATGAGCTTTTTACCTGTAAATTTACAGTCAACGTGCAGGATTTGACGTTTGCAGCCCCAACTCCGGTCTTAGAATGGAAAGTGTAGATTTTTGCCCCCGCGGCCACGTTGCTTGGAAATTTACAGGGAAAATGCTCGTGTTGCATGTGTGTTGCATGTGTGTTGCATGTGTGTTGCATGTGTGTTGCATGTGTGTTGCATGTGTGTTGCATGTGCGTTGCATTGGCAGGCCCATACAAATCACACCCGTGAAGTGGGGAAGTAGAAAACAGCGTGGCAGGCGCAAGAGTTGTAGGTGGCAGGGCGAGACTTTGGAAGCTGAGCGCCTTGGATATTACATTGTGGTGGTGGCCCGTAGCATCCACCTTTGTGGGGTTGTCGCATATTATATAGAATAAGCTTTGGCAACCATCTTGGGCAACTTTCACAAGCTGATGGTTAGCCCTTAGCATCCACCTTTATTGGGCTGTCACAGATTACAGAAGCGCATGCTTTGACAATGCGTAAATTTCAGAAGCTGATGTTGTCGCATCGATGTGTGTGTATGTGTGCTGATCTACATCCACATGCATATCAACAACAGTTAAACTGAACTCGGAACAAAAAAAAGCCTCACCGGGTTCTTCAAAAAAAACAGCCATCCACAGGAAACCACAGAGATACCCTGCTTACCCCCGCAACCCCCAACTTCAATGTTGTGATCGGAAGTGCCGAGCATCATCAACAGAAATGGCTGTTTTTTTTGAAGGCCGCCAAACACAAACTTCAGAAGACAACATTGAATTGGGGGACGGGGGGGGCATGACCTCTGTGGTGTGGTACTTCATGGGATGGCTGTTTTTTTTAAGAACCCGGACTCAGAAAAGACACAATAGGATGGACCCATGGCTGCAGACAAACGCGAGAATGATGACGACACTGTGTCAGGGAAAGCATCGGGATCAGTTTGGGCGGGTGTTTGTGTGTGGGTGTGTCTGTTTGCTTGCGCGGGCGCATATGTGCTAATATGGGTTGTGCTAAGTGAAATACATGCAGTGACAGTCTTGTCTTGACACCTTTTTGACCTGATTCTGCAATGTCGTTGGGTGCACTGGCTGTCGTTCTGCGTGGCAGGCGCGCCACTTTGAGAGCGTGACTGCTCTATCCTGCACACCTGCCATGCAACGCACATGCAACACACATGCAACACACATGCAACACGACATGCAACATGAGCTTTTTACATGTAAATTTACAGTCAACGTGCAGGATTTGACGTTTGCAGCCCCAACTCCGGTCTTAGAATGGAAAGTGTAGATTTTTGCCACCGCGACCACTTTGCTTGGAAATTTACAGGGAAAATGCTCGTGTTGCATGTGTGTTGCATGTGTGTTGCATGTGTGTTGCATGTGCGTTGCATTGGCAGGCCCATACAAATCACACCCGTGAAGTGGGGAAGTAGAAAACAGCGTGGCAGGCGCAAGAGTTGTAGGTGGCAGGGCGAGACTTTGGAAGCTGAGCGCCTTGGATATTACATTGTGGTGGTGGCCCGTAGCATCCACCTTTGTGGGGTTGTCGCATATTATATAGAATAAGCTTTGGCAACCATCTTGGGCAACTTTCACAAGCTGATGGTTAGCCCTTAGCATCCACCTTTATTGGGCTGTCACAGATTACAGAAGCGCATGCTTTGACAATGCGTAAATTTCAGAAGCTGATGTTGTCGCATCGATGTGTGTGTGTATGTGTGCTGATCTACATCCACATGCATATCAACAACAGTTAAACTGAACTCGGAACAAAAAAAAAGCCTCACCGGACTCAGAAAAGACACAATAGGATGGACCCATGGCTGCAGACAAACGCGAGAATGATGACGACACTGTGTCAGGGAAAGCATCGGGATCAGTTTGGGCGGGTGTTTGTGTGTGGGTGTGTCTGTTTGCTTGCGCGGGCGCATATGTGCTAATATGGGTTGTGCTAAGTGAAATACATGCAGCGACAGTCTTGACACCTTTTTGACCTGCAATGTCGTTGGGTGCACTGGCTGTCGTTCTGCGTGGCAGGCGCGCCACTTTGAGAGCGTGACTGCTCTATCTATCCTGCACACCTGCCATGCAACGCACATGCAACACACGTGCAACACACATGCAACACACATGCAACACGACATGCAACATGAGCTTTTTACCTGTAAATTTACAGTCAACGTGCAGGATTTGACGTTTGCAGCCCCAACTCCGGTCTTATAATGGAAAGTGTAGATTTTTGCCCCCGCGGCCACATTGCTTGGAAATTTACAGGGAACATGCTCGTGTTGCATGTGTGTTGCATGTGTGTTGCATGTGCGTTGCATTGGCAGGCCCATACAAATCACACCCGTGAAGTGGGGAAGTAGAAAACAGCGTGGCAGGCGCAAGAGTTGCAGGTGGCAGGGGCGAGACTTTGGAAGCTGAGCGCCTTGGATATTACATTGTGGTGGTGGCCCGTAGCATCCACCTTTGTGGGGTTGTCGCATATTATATATATAGAATAAGCTTTGACAACCATCTTCGGTAAATTTCACAAGCTGATGGTTAGCCCTTAGCAGCCACCTTTATTGGGCTGTCACAGATTACAGAAGCGCATGCTTGGACAATGCGTAAATTTCAGAAGCTGATGTTGTCGCATCGATGTGTGTGTATGTGTGCTGATCTACATCTACATGCATATCAACAACAGTTAAAATGAACTCGGAACCCAAAAAAAAACTCACCGGGTTCTTCAAAAAAAAACAGCCATCCACAGGAAACCACAGAGATACCCTGCTTACCCCCGCAACCCCCAACTTCAATGTTGTGATCGGAAGTGCCGAGCATCATCAACAGAAATGGCTGTTTTTTTTGAAGGCCGCCAAAACACAAAATTCAGAAGACAACATTGAATTGGGGGACGGGGGGGGCATGACCTCTGTGGCGTGGTACTTCATGGGATGGCTGTTTTTTTTGAAGAACCCGGACTCAGAAAAGACACAATAGGATGGACCCATGGCTGCAGACAAACGCGAGAATGATGACGACACTGTGTCAGGGAAAGCATCGGGATCAGTTTGGGCGGGTGTTTGTGTGTGGGTGTGTCTGTTTGCTTGCGCGGGCGCATATGTGCTAATATGGGTTGTGCTAAGTGAAATACATGCAGCGACAGTCTTGACACCTTTTTGACCTGATTCCGCAATGTCGTGGGGTGCACTGGCTGTCGTTCTGCGTGGCAGGCGCACCACTTTGAGAGCGTGATTGCTCTATCCTGCACACCTGCCATGCAACGCACATGCAACACACATGCAACACACATGCAACACGACATGCAACATGAGCTTTTTACCTGTAAATTTACAGTCAACGTGCAGGATTTGACGTTTGCAGCCACAACTCCGGTCTTAGAATGGAAAGTGTAGATTTTTGCCCCCGCGGCCACGTTGCTTGGAAATTTACAGGGAAAATGCTCGTGTTGCATGTGTGTTGCATGTGTGTTGCATGTGTGTTGCATGTGTGTTGCATGTGTGTTGCATGTGCGTTGCATGTGCGTTGCATTGGCAGGCCCATACAAATCACACCCGTGAAGTGGGGAAGTAGAAAACAGCGTGGCAGGCGCAAGAGTTGTAGGTGGCAGGGCGAGACTTTGGAAGCTGAGCGCCTTGGATATTACATTGTGGTGGTGGCCCGTAGCATCCACCTTGGTGGGGTTGTCGCATATTATATAGAATAAGCTTTGGCAACCATCTTGGGCAACTTTCACAAGCTGATGGTTAGCCCTTAGCATCCACCTTTATTGGGCTGTCACAGATTACAGAAGCGCATGCTTTGACAATGCGTAAATTTCAGAAGCTGATGTTGTCGCATCGATGTGTGTGTGTATGTGTGCTGATCTACATCCACATGCATATCAACAACAGTTAAACTGAACTCGGAACAAAAAAAAAGCCTCACGGTATGTTTCTTCAGCCAAAGGATGAAGTGCAGGTCCTCCTAGATGTTGAGGCAACCAAGTTCAGTCAATCACATCGCTGACACATTGGAGTAGACGACTTTGAGAGCAAGGTATAGAGTATAGACATGATAATTTTAAGCCAAGAATGGCTCATTTCAAGACCAAGTGCAGTCTGGCTGCTACCAGCCATGCCTGAGCAATGGAACCATGCCAAGTTGTGGAGAAATCAGTTTGAATGGTCTGAAGTTGACCTACTCGAATATCTTGGAACCAGGGTTCCGGTTACCCCAAGTCAAAAAATGTAAGTGGAAGTGATGAGAGCGTCAGTGCTGTCAGGGCATCAAACCTCACTTTGTGAGGCAGCCGATGAAGGAGAGGGCTGTCTAGCTCAGCTTCACATCCCCTGAAGCACCCTTTGTACAGGAGACAAAACAGAAGACATGAAAACAATGTGGACTTAAAGCCGGAACATGTTCTCATTTGACTCTGCGATGATCTGTCTTCTGGCACAGTCTGTACTGGCAGCATGAAGTTGCAGGTCCAAAACACCTGCAGTTAATAGGTTTTCCTATTGCCTACTGCAGAGAGCTCAAGAACGGAACTGTCCATATCTGTTCCTTGTGGGCTCACATGTCTCAAAGTACTGCACTGAAGTCTCTGCACACTGCGATTTTCAAAGTCCTGGATCTGGACTCAATAGACTGGCCTTCTGGGCGTGCAGATTGTCCCCACACAAAATCACATTCCAAGGATCTCCCAACATCTCCCACCAGGAAAAGGGTCTCCTGAGTCTTGTGTAATCTATCTTATTCCAAAGGTTGCGTCGGTTGTGCTGTATTTTTTGTGCTGCCTTGAAGGGGCCAATTTTGATGCCAGGGCGAATGCTAAGCGCAACACGCTTGGCATGCCTCTCATCTGTTTCTTTTGGCACTTTGGCCCTCGGCACCGTACTGTGAATTAGCCGGCCAATTCCTTTCCCGGAGCAAAATCATGGTGATGCCGTGTGCTTTTGAAAGGCTCATTCCTGGTAAGAACAGGACCATACAGTACCATACTGAACTCTGCCCAACTCTCATGATGGCATTGCACAGCATTTGCGAGGTACATTGCTTGCATCTTTACTATGCAAACCAGCTCAACGATCCGTGTTCATTCTGGTCTGCGGCGCAAAGGAGCTGTGCTTGGACGCGGCACCTCGAGCAGTTGAAACAAAACAGGTGATATGGCAGTAGTATGGGCTCTCTCCTGCAGGTTCTCTTCTGGCCAATGAGGCCTTAAAAATGTGGCATTTTGGGAGACCAGCCGCCTGCATAGAACTGGGGAGTGTTGGCAGCACGGAAGGTTTCTCTCCATGTATCTTGCCCTGAGCCACATCTACCTTGCAGATCCGAAAAGATCAAAAGGTCAAATAGTAAAGTATCTTTGAGGATAAGAAACCATACGAATTACACAAGGTACTACGGCATACAGTACAACAGCAATAAATCACAGTTGTGTCACATTTTTTCCGCTGTATGCCTCTTGTGGCTCGTGTGCTCCCTGCCTGCTTGTGGACATCGTGAAGGCCTCTACCAACACCTCGCAACAGATCGTGCGCCACCTCCACCCGGTCAGCCATATTGATAACATCGCCCTGCCAGGTCAAAGCACACGATTCAGAGTAAATTGATAGTGTGAAGCATAAACACAAGCAGATACAAGCAGTCTCACACGGCACAAACACGCCAACTCCACTGAAATCGGACTTGTGGCAACAGGCTCAAAAATACCATTTTGTGGAAGTTTCCACTTAATGGCAATGGACCAAGTCAAAAGAGCAAATACACAAATACAACATTTCAACACAGTACATTCCAATACATGTCACACAATGTCTGAAATGAGAAAGAGCTCCAAATGCTCCAGTCCCTTTGGCCTTTGGCCCCAAGGTCTGATTTGCATCTGGGCTGCAAGGCGTGCAGGCTACTCCGCCCTATGTGTCCTACGCTGTCCTACGCTGCCCTACGCTGCCCTGTTTCAGGTTTGTCCTTTGCAAACTATTGAAAAAGTAACACATGTGTAATTATCGAGGGAAGTTTAAAAGTCAAACTTCCGACAATATGGACAGATGAAAAGCAGAGATGGGAAGAGTCAGAGAAGAGAAGAGCAGAGAAGAGAAGAGTAGAGTAGAGTAGGGTAGGGTAGAGTAGAGTGGAGTAGAGTAGAGTAGAGTAGAGAAGAAGAAAGATGACCAAAAAAAAGAAAGTCTCAGAAGAAAGAAGATCCAGTTGCACGAAAAGGTAGGAAAGTCGCAGAACACTGTGTTTTTCCAATGATTTGTGCCTCCGGAGGGTCGACAGTATGCTCGCTAAAGCGGCGGGCGCGGAGCCATCTGGCCAGATGAGAGATGAAAAGCTGCACGCC